AACGGGGAACGTCTACTGCAACTATGCACAGACCACAACCTGTTTCTGGCTAGCACTAACTTTCTGCACAGTCATCGCCGATGTGCCACCTGGCGTCCCCCTTCTGCATCTCAAGCCTGGACTCAGATTGATCACATCGCGATCAGCTACCGCTGGCGTGGTTGTGTACAAGACTGCCGCTCCTTTTGGAGTACCTATCTGGAATCTGATCATGCTCTGGTCTGCGCCAATCTTACCTTACTTTTCAGTGGACAACGAAGTGACCGCCACCACAGGATTGATGTTAGCAAGCTGGCTGCAACTTCTGTTGCTAGTAAGTACCGAACCGAGCTAGCTTCTAGGCTAGCTACCATTCCACCGAAAAGTATAGATGAGCATTGGTTGCAATTGCATGACGCCATGAAAATGGCGGGTACAGTTTGTTGTGGGTTTGCGAAACGTCCCGCTTACAAGCACTGGGTTTCTTCTGGTTCCTTACAACTGATTGAAGCCCGTCGGTCTACTCCGGGTGACCGTGAGTTTGACCACAGACGAAGGATGTTACGTAATGAAATCGGGCAAAGCTTGCGTAAGGACCGAGAAGCCTGGTGGTCGGAGCGTGCCAGTGAGTTGGAAGCAGCAGCTGCATCTGGTAATTACCGGAAGCTCTTCCAACTCATCCGAGCCACTGGCAGCAAGAAGTTTGGTGTGAGCGAAACAATCTGCGAGGATGACAGAACGCCAATCACTAACATCCATCGAAGTCTTGGACGATGGGCAGAATTCTTTGAAGGGCAGTTCAACTGGCCTGCTGCTCCGGCAACATCGGTCAGACTGTCCTGCCCTCCATGGCCGGTGACGACTGATCCACCAAATGAGGCGGAAGTCCGCAAGGAACTCCAACTCTTGAAACGTTACAAATCACCGGGCCCAGACGACTTACCTCCGGCTCTTTTTAAAGATGGTGGTGACTTTTTGACTAAGGGACTGACGACGTTGTTTACAAAGATCTGGGAACTAGAGAGTGTACCAACGTCATGGAATAAGTCGATAGTTGTCCCTATCTTTAAAAAGGGTTCACGTTGTTCCTGTAACAACTATCGGGGGATAAGTCTACTTCCGATTGCGTCCAAGCTATTGGCTTCCGTCATACTTCGTAGGTTGTTCAGAACCCGAGAAAGATTGACTCGCGAGGAGCAGGCTGGGTTTCGTTCTGGTCGAGGATGTATTGATCATATCTTCACCCTCCGCCAAGTGTTAGAACATCGCCATACTTATCAAAGGCCAACAATCGTAGTGTTTCTTGATATCAGGGCTGCCTTCGATTCGTTGGACAGAACTGTTCTCTGGGATTGTCTATTGAAGAAGGGTGTGCCTGAGAAGTTTATTAACATCCTAAAAGCCCTATACACAAACACCTCAGGCAGAGTGAGGGCATACAACCACCTTTCTCCACTATTCCATTCGAGCAGTGGGGTTAGGCAGGGTTGCCCAATCTCACCATTCCTCTTCAACTTTGCCATCGATGACATTCTGGAAACAGCTCTGACGGATATAAGTAATGGTGGTGTGGATCTGTTGCCTGGAGAAAGACTTCTCGACCTTGAGTATGCGGATGATATTGTCTTACTGTGCGAGAATGCCCAAGCCATGCAATCCGCACTTAATCAGTTGGCAATCAGTGTCCGTAGGTATGGTATGTGCTTTGCACCTTCGAAGTGCAAAGTTCTTCTACAAGACTGGCAGGATTCTAATCCTGTACTCACTCTGGATGGTGAGCAGATTGAAGTAGTCGAGAAGTTCGTGTATCTGGGTAGCTGCATAAGTGCTGGTGGTGGTGTGAGTGATGAGATCAATGCACGTATAGTGAAAGCCAGAGCGGCTTATGACAATCTGGGCCATCTTTGGCGCCTTCGTGATGTTAGTCTGGCTGTAGAAGGTCGGATCTACAACGCGTCGGTGAGAGCAGTTTTGCTCTATGCTTGTGAAACCTGACCTCTCCGAGTTGAGGATGTTAGACGACTCTCTGTGTTCGATCATCGTTGTCTCCGAAGGATTGCTGGCATCCAGTGGCAACACCATGTCAGTAATGCAGAGGTTCGGCATCGAGTGTTCGGTCACAGAGACGATAATGAAATTGGTGTCACCATCTTGAAACACCGACTTCGGTGGCTTGGACATGTTCTACGAATGTCGTCCCAGAGAATTCCTCATCGTGCATTATTTGCCGACTCTGGGACTGGTTGGAAAAAGCGGAGAGGTGGTCAGTATATGACATGGTGTCGTGGTATGAAAGAAAGCTGCAAAGGGCTAGCTTCTGTTGGTCCTTCACGACTCCCTGGTTGGGGTCCGAGAGACGGTGTAACGCAGTGGCTAGAGACGTTATCAGATATGGCTCAGAATAGAAGCCAGTGGCGATCGTGCTGTAACCTTCTTTTACTTTCTTCATAAAAAGTGGTTGTATCTTCCTTAACTGAAAGATCTCTTCTGATTGTACCTTTTCGTTTCCCCCACCATTGTTCTCTCTCTCTCCCTTTTTTTTAAAATTCCCCACGTTCATTACTTTTTTTTCTCTTTTCTCCTTCTCTTCAAATTATCATTGTTTTGTGTGGCGCATATATATTTGGTGCCCCCCTGTACCAATATTTATGTGTTCAAATAAATAAATAAATAGCACGACTCGAGGTTTCACAAGAAAGTTCCAATGAAGAGAGTATCGCAATCGACAGAGCCTAATCTTTAGACACAATTTTGTGTGGAAGTTGAGTGGATCTCATCTTCAATTCTAAATAAAACTTTTCGTCGTTTGTTGCTTTATAGAAAGCTTGATTCCAACAACAAAGCTTTTTATGTAACGACAGACCGATGGCATTAACAGATTCTTTTAAAGTTGGAAATATTGACATATTTTACGAAAAATTAGTTGGCTACTCCATAGAAATATTCTTAAAACTTTTTTTAGTTTGATTGTGAAGTGTTTTCTGAATGTGTTTTAACTAAGTATAAAGTCACAAGGGCAAACAAATGCGTTTTTGAATTTTTGGTACTCTGGTTTTTAAAAACGGTCTTTTTCACTGGTTGACAAATGGATGATATCCAAGTCAAGTATTGTCTGAATGCCGTGGCTTTAAAATGGAAATGGGATTCCCATACTGAAAGACCGATTGACTGTTTATCACACGTAACTTTAGGCAATTAGAAATGGGACTGAACAGTTTATCTTTAGTTTTTAAAAAATACCTGATGATTAGACTGGAAGAACACTGGTTGAAGTGCTGGCACCTTTTACTTCGAAATTTTCGACCGATTTTTCCAGTTCGTGAAAACGAATATCCTCATATCAGTTAGTGGAAGCCAACTTAAGTAACAAATTCTTAGGTTATAGAAAACAATGTCTAACTAGAGCCATAGGAAAACGGTGATGAAATCAGGCGAAACTTGTTTTCAACCAAGTCAGAAATTTGCCATCTGTAGAGACTACACAATAAACATTTACCAGCATCAGACTCCTGAAACACTTTAATATGACGGCTGCTTATAACAAATCAATCCTAAGTTCTTACAAGTGTTGTGAGAGCATATTACATCCCTAGATACTACTAATTAGAGCACTGATAGTTGTACAGTTAAGTAGTGAAAATTATATAAACCCTTTACATTGGGTGATGCCTGCTGAAGACACAAGATTAAATCCCATAGACTTTATCGCGCTTACGAGAGTGATGGATATATTGGGTTTTCAGTTGATATCTAAAATTAATTTTCTCTGTTCAAGTACATAATAGTTTTGTTAAGTGTGAATGATTTTAAAATAAGTCAAATATTCCGAGCAAAAGCTTTAGAACAAAGCACTTCCCAACCTAAAGCGCTATCTCAATGTCAACTATGGCCAGTGCACAGTTCGAGATGAGGTATTGAACAAATTAAGCCCACTGACAATTTGAATCACCCGAATCACGGTAACCATATATATTTAACCTAACTTTCCTGTGAGTTTTTTCATTTATTGAATTAACGTGTTTACCAACTGCTTACGCGTGAGTCACACGGATAATAATAGTATCCGGTTTCCCAAACCGAAGAGGGTGAGGGAGGGTACGAACCTAAAAACACGGAAGTTTATTGCTTCAACTGCTACGTCACTGATTGGTAAGACGATTGGCAAAGAAATTATAAGTTGTTCATTTTCAATTAAGGAGTATCATAATGAACAGAATAATTAGCTCTGCCTTTTCAAGATTATAAGATTATTCTAGATTTTGTCTCCCATGTTGAAATCATGAACTGACCATAGCTAAACCACCATTGAAGACCTGGAAGCATCAGACGGCCGTTTTATCTTAATATGGGACTCTCGAGCAATTTTTACTGAAGTCCCCGCACATAGGAATCGAATTCATGGCCTCTGGTCTAGAAAGCAAAAGCTCAAACTCCATACAACTGAGCTGGTATCTAATGGTGTATATATCTAGCTTTGGCTGATTGCAAACTTCAATCATCGCTCGCTTCATGGCTTCAGTGAAATCCTACAACCTCCACAACTCCATGGCGACGATTATCAGATACTCACTAGTGACTAGCTTAAAAAGAAATTTCCAAAATTATAGTGAGAAGTTACGGCCAGTAGAATCTAGCCTTGTCAGGTAAGAGGGAAATACTGACCAAAAAAATATTAGGCTGATTACAGTCAAACTTATGCATTATTCGATCCCTGCTCAGTGGCCTGAAAGTTAAGCGCTGGCACGCGAGTCTGACTCCTGTGGATGTTAATAAGAATTAATAGGGAGCCCCATACTAGGATAAGACGGCCGTCCAATACTTTAAGGTTTTCAATAGTGATCTATTTATGACCAGTTCATGATGAGTACGGTTTTCACCCTTTTAAGACCGTCAATTTCATTTATAAAATTCCATTTCAGAAAACGGTTAAGCTCAACACATTTCGTTTAGGCGACAAGTATAATATACACAGATTGTATGTTATAGGTATGTAAAAAGACAAACCTAATTAATGAACTTACCGTCATCATCAGTTTTAACTTCCATCCGACCACTAAACATTGCAGTAAGCATTGTGCCACCGCGTAAAAGTGTTCCAATAGTGGTATAGAACAAGCACCCACCGACATTAAGCTTAACATAACTATTGAGGCGTTCTACAGTATCTGATTCCGCAGACATGTTAAGAGAACAAAAACCCTGCCTTTCGAATTTTCCCCAATGTATGCTCTTCAATATTCAATTAGCGGAATAAGGACAATTGTTCAATAGTTTATTCTTTCAAACTATCTCACAAAAACTATCACAAACAATTCAGATGTCCTTTGATCAGAACATATCTAGCTGCTGTGAGAGTTTCAATAGCCTAGTAATATGTTTCGTGTGTATCAATTTTTTGCAATTACATATATTGGTGTACGTGGCTGCAGTTTTATTTAGTCCTATTTAATATTCATTCGAATTAAAAACTTCAGATGATTATCTAAAATTACTGAATTCGTGAACAATCCTTTAATGTTGCGTACATTCTATAACTTTGATTCTTTTAAACACATCGTATGAAGATTATTTCTGAAACCAAGGAGTTACCTGAGCATCCTCTCATGAGTCATGTTCTAGAGAATAATATCTTCAGTAGTATGTATGGCTTCACAGTCATGTTTGTTGGCTATAAAATGTTGTAGGACACCTACAAGTCAAAATAATCCGGTTTGATGGTATCAATTGTTTCTTCCTTTCTTGTTTGAGACTCTAAAGTTTGCCCTATAAATTCTGCAGTAGAATGATTTAAATGTATCCGATAAACTTTGGAAGTACATTCAAACGAACGTGAAATATTCCTGCTCGGCAGATAAAAATATTTGTACAGTTATCCAAGCACAACGCTAGAGATACCTGCAAAAATTCGTTTGAATCATGGCCAGCTACTAAGTGGAATAGTTTCTTTTACCACCTACAACTTACAACAATATCTTCGTTATTCTGTCGACTGTGTAGATCCAGGAAACTTGTGAATTTTTAATCCAATGACGACTTGTATTACGTAACTCCCAGATCGGTATGGTTTCGTAGTGACCTACTTTTGTCAACAGAACGCGATTGGTTCGATGAAAACAATTATTATTATAACCAATTGTACCAGTGACTGTTTTACTGTGCTCGTTTTTTAACTGTGTTAATGACAACCATTATACTTACTCTCCCGTTGACTTTGAACTTGTACGAATCCGGTTACGCTCAGTAACCACGCTTGTACTCCTTTGGCACGATCTCGGTATTCTTTCGATACCACGAGATCGCCAACAAATACAACTCGACTACAGCCATCATCTGTCTTCTGATGTTGACCTACGGGGATCTTATTGGTCTATTGGCACGTAGTCTTGTAGCGGTGTTCATAGTCAAGCTCAACTCGACACCACGCTAAAGTTTTCATCCTTTTACAACAGTCACTCTCATTTAAGTTAATATCGATATGGGTATTAAAAATCAATTATGTAAGAGCATCGGAAGAGTAAATAGTGAGTTGCTAATAAATAGACCAGTAGAAAACAGCTGCCTTACAATCTCGATATGATTTTCATAAAAGTAGAAACTGTATTACCAATCTGTTGTCACTGAAAACATCTGAATAATGTTAAAGAAGTGTGAGTTTTCGTGAATACTTTTACATAGATTTTTAAAAGCTTCATCCAATTGACACCGGTAGTTAACGTAACCGAGTAAAAAGTAGTACAGTAAATCACGAATGTCATGATGTGAATGTAATGTTCATAATATTATATTTCGATGAATGAGTAATATAATTGCGTAAATATTATAATTTAATTTCAATACGATTACTGACTATAATTCCATATAAATTTGATCATGAGAACGAGATTATTATGATAATCACAGTGGATAGATCAAAAAAGTAGATGAATGAGAAGAATTGGTACTGGAACAATGTACCGCCTGCTACTGTTTCCGAAGCATCCATCATCAAAGCGAAGGCGAATGGGAATTCGGATGCATCAGAGTAGACGATAGAGCTAGTTTAATCTTTAGCTGCCTAACAGCCTCGATAGCCTCACAAGTTAACTTAAATTCTCCTGATTTTCCTTTGAGAAAGACTGTCAAATATTGCGATAACTGACAAAGGTTAGACCAACTCCTTAACAACATCGACCTGCAACACGGTTCTGCCACAGATATGTTGCAAAGAATGAGAGAAGTTATTGGCCAAAGAACTTTAGATGATGGCCTGTTCAAACAACTTTCCTTATCCAAACTTCTTCACCAGGTGGAAGCTGTGCTGTTCTCGTTTCAAAACAACGCCGTAGACGAGCTGGCTGCATCTGCCGACCGCATCCTCGAAATCAACAAACCTTCTAATACCGAGGATTTTCAGTTAAAGAAAAGCTTCAAACGACCAAGAATGACATTACCAAGTTATGTCATACACTTACACGTAATCTTAAATTTCGTAACGACCATAAACGGTCACACACTCCGCGAAAAAGCACTTAACGTAGGCGATCTGTCTCTAGACCTCGAGAGACGGATAATCTTGACTGGTGCTGGTATCATAACCAGTATAGAAAGACCTCCAGAAATCGCAGGAAACTCTGCAATTTTCCCGACGCAAAATCGGTCGACGCGAAGAATGTTTCGGGAACTTCCAAGCCGGCACGCGTTAACGGCAGCCGTAGCCGTCTTTTATGTGTCACTGATGTGATAACGAGAGTTTGCTACCTCGTCGATTCTGGCGCACAAGTTAGCGTTTTTCTAGCAAATTCCAAAGACCGGCTTCACGAGTCGGTTTTAAATCTACAGGCGGCAAACGCAAAGCCTATCGCTACGTATGGCAAAAGGTAGGTTTATCTTAACGTAGGTTTAAGCAAACCCATTCACTGGATCTTTGTTTGTGCAGATGTTTCTATGCCAATCATTGGTATGGACCTGCTACGGCACCACAACTTAATTATCGATACGCGCAAACGGAGGTTAGTGGACGGAAACACTAATTTATCGGTTTGCCTGACTTCTTTTTCTGGTTGCAGGTTATCTCCAGTCACTACTAAGCACACTATATACCCCTTCTACCAACCAATACTCGATAAGTATCCTGGCATTTACCAATCGCAACCGAAATTGCCGTGTAACCAGCAATGTTACACATCACATCACGACTACAGGACCACCTGTATTCTCGAAAGCACGCCGACTGGCCCCCGAAAAGTTAAGGTTGGCGAAAAACGAATTCGACCATATGATAAACTTAGGAATCATACGACCGTCAAATAGCCCATGGACATCTTCGTTCCACATGGTCCCTAAAAGGGACAGCAACGATTGGCGTCCAACTGGTGACTATCGGAGATTGAATGCAAAACCATTCCCGATCGTTACCCGTTGCCCCACATTCACGATTTGACAGCTACCTTGAAAGGTGCAACTGTCTTTTCAAAAATCGACTTGGTAAAAGTGTATGACCAAATTACTATGGCCTCTGACGACACTCCAAAAACCGCTATTATAACACCCTTCGGACTCTATGAATTTTCGCGAATGCCTTTCGGTCTGAGAAACGCGGCACAGACTTTCCAAAGTTTCATAGATGATGTTTTTCGAGGTCTCAACTTCGTACATGCGTATGTTGATGACTGCCTAATGGCAAGTCCGGACAGAGTATCACATCTCCAACATCTGGACCTTGTTTTCGACCGACTACAAAAACATGGCATTACCGTAAACATTCAGAAATTCCAAATCGGAACCGACTCCTTAGACTTCTTACGACACACTATCGATACGCAACGTATTCGACCCCTTAGAACAAAAGTGGCAGCCATTCTGGATTACCCAGAACCAACCACCATCAAGCGATTGCGCACGTTTAACGGTCTGGTAAGTATTTTTTATAGACGATTCATACCGAAATGCGCGTTACTTATGAAACCCCTTACCGACCAACTTCGTGGAAATGCGAAATCCATTAATCTAGATGACACTACACGTAAAGCACTCTTCACGGTTAAGGAACTGATCGATTAAGCGACCGTGCTCGCTCATCGGGACCCTGGAGCGCCTATTAGTATCTCAGTAGACGCATCCGACTCTGCAATCGGAGCAGTCTCACAATGATGGGTTAACCACTATTGACAACCTTTGGCATTTTTCTCTAGATGGTTGCTAGACACTGAATCGGGGTACAGCACATTCGGTAGGGAACTCCTAGCTATGTATTGTGCTGTCCGGCATTTTCAACACTATATCGAAGGCCGTGAATTTATCATTTTTACCGACCATAAACCACTTACCTTCTCCTTAAGCTCTTCTTCGAACAAGTACTCACCACGTGAGTCTCGACAACTGGACTACATTTCGCAGTTTACTTCAGATATTCGACACATTTCTGGAGCAAACAATGTAGTCGCAGACGCCTTGTCTCGTATAAATTCCTTGAACAGTTCCCAAGGAATCGACCTTTTAAAACTCGCCCAACTTCAAAAAGAAGACAGTGATCTTCAGCACGAGTTGGCCTCAACAACACTTAAACTGCGCATTAAACAGATTGGAACAGGTAAGGAAACCTTACTTTGTGACACATCTACAGGTAGGGATCGCCCAATCGTGCCGAAACAATATCGACGCAACGTCTTCAATACGTTGCACAGACTTTCTCATCCAGGTGTTCGTGCAACCATCGAGCTTATAACAGAACAGTTTTGCTGGCCTGGTATGAATAAAGACATGAGGGAGTAGGCACGCTCCTGTGTAAGCTGCCAGAAATCTAAGGTTATTAGACATAACAAATGTCCCTTAGGCTCGTTTAAAACTCCCGATGTTCGCTTCGACCATGTTCATTTGGATTGGGTAGGACCATTACCAGATTCAAATGGATATTCTTATCTTTTAACATGCGTAGACCGTTTTAATCGATGGACAGAAGCAGTACCCATCAAGGACATTACTGCTGAAACAGTGATTCGCGCCTTCGTCAAACGATGGGTAACAAACTTCGGCTGCCCAACAACAATCACCACAGATCGTGGACGTCAGTTCGAATCTGAACTTTTCTGTTGTCTGACCGCAAAATTAGGAATCACTCGCTTCCGAATGGCGGCCTACCACCCACAAGCAAACGGGTTGGTAGAACGTTTTCACCGACAACTAAAAGCTTCACTATCAGCCTCAAACATTTCTCAGTGAACTGACGCTCTTCCACTCGTCTTACTAGGCATACGCAATGCAGT